GGTTGATGGGATAAAATTCAAACCCAATAAATAAATATTTGTGGGATAAAAATAAAACTCAACAAAATAAATGATTGATGAGATAAAACTCAAACCCAACACAGTTGATGGGATAAAATTCAAACCCAATAAAATAGTAGTTGATGGGATAAAATTCAAATCCAACAAAATAAAGGTTGGTGGGATAAAATTCAAACCAAATAAAATAAATGATTGGTGGGATAAAACCCAAGTCTGACAAAATAAAGGTTGGTGGATTAAAATCTAAACCCAACACGATTGGTGGGATAAAATTCAAATCCAACAAAATAACAGTTTGTGGGATAAAATCCAATTCCAACAAAATAAAGATCGGTAGGATAAAATTCAAACCCTACAAAATAACGATTGATGGGATAAAATTCAAAGTCAACAAAATAAAAGTTGGTAGAATAAAACTCAAACCCAACGAGTAACAGTTGGTGGGATAAGACCCAAGCCCAAAAAATAAAGATTGGTGGGATAACAAAATAAAGGTTGGTGGGATAAAATCCAAACCCAACAAAATAAAAGTTTGAAATAACTTTTGACATCTCATTTTCAAAATTTGCCCCAGTGTAGGCTTTTTTTTAAACTAAAAATTACCTCAATTTAATTCTAACTAGACTTCTCTTTTTTTTTTTTTTTGCTGAAGTTTTGTACTCCTTTTCAATGAATAAGCCAATTCTCCACCTTGCCATGTGGCATTATTAACATTCAAATTTGCAAGATTTTGATTTGCTCTTCTTCATCAATTTTAGTCAAGAATGCCTGCACAGATGGGATTTACCAAAGTACAACATGTACTTGAAATGTCACAAAAAAATTTTTACTTTATTTTGAAAAATGATGCAATTACTGCTCATAAAAGGAGTGGTCTTATCGAAATGAAATTTTGAACAATAGATTTGAAGGCATATTATTTGACTCTTTGGCAAAATCTCATAAATGTATTACAAAAATTCGCCTCAATTTGGGCCTATTTTAATTACAAAAAATTTTACTCGAATGATTATCCATTTATTTGGACAAAACAAGAAAACTGTGTATCCTAAAGTTTAGAAAAATAATCACATATTAACATGCAATGTGAATAGAAATTGAAATTTTCAAATGAAGAAATTTAAATGTCTTATTCGAACTCATGTAGAAGACTCCATGATGAATCTTTCAAAACAAAACCTAGTTGCAAAAAATTCCTTCCTCACTTTAGGATCGGTATTTAGAGAAAATGTTCACTTTTCTTATTAGTTCATCCTTTAGGACCAAACAAGAAGGTATTATTCCTGATTTTGAGGTGGTTAAGAGAAATGGTATGTTAGGATCTATCTTGCTTTTGTGCTCAGATAGTCTCTAACCCATTCAATATTATATCTCGGTGAAAGTAAATAGTTTTCCACCCTTATTTTTTGAAAAAATTCAGTCAACATATAAACTCTATAAAATTGTAATATATGGGTAAAAGCGATAACTAATTATATGAAAATAGATTATAGCCTTATGAGCATGAGTGATTGATAGATTTTTTAAAAGTATGATCTTATTTCGAGTTATCATGAAAGATAAGTTAGCGATGGATTTTATGAGTTTGTAATGCAACTTGACGATGATAGCTTAAAGAAACAAGATTTTCAAGAACATTGCATTTAAGATCGCATTCCTTCCAAAAAATTATCCTAGTTTTGGACTCAAAGACCCTGGGCTCCATTTTGACTTTTATCATCAATCACTAGAGGATTTCAGCATTGAATATCTTTGCATTTTCTTTTCTCTTCCTTTTCTTTTTCTCTTTTTTTTGTCAATACCGAAATCTCAAATATCAATGATAGAATTGAAAACCCCCTAATTTTTAGAGTATAGATGCCCCCTCTTTCTTTTCTTCTTTTCTCTTCTTTTTTTTAATACTTCATGTCCCTTTCAAAATTTTAGCATCTTTGCCATTATTGAAAATTCTCAAATCTCCTTCCCCAGTGTGGGATGCAATCATAAGCGCTTTTGAAACAAACCACCAATTTAAACTCAAATATGGATGCAAAAGATAAACAGTGTTTAAATAGTAGAAACGATGGCCAAAACATTATTCTTACATTACATGACAATCAAAGTAAAGAATAGCCTATTGAGAATCCATTCCCTTTTGACATTTGAAAATTTTTTCAATGTAGGGTTATGATTACTAAGACTCTTATTTGAAACGAAATTATACCTTCAAAGACTCAAATGAGAGAACAAGTGATAAAATCTGTATAGATAGAGAAACGAATGCCTAAAGTATCATTCCAAATTTTCAAAACAAACAAGAGTAATTTAAATTTTTGCTTTCACTTAAATGTGAATTGAATCTGATTAGATATAGTGGGCATTTTCAAAACAAAGATTGCCCCACTTTGCAGCTTGTCAACCAATGTGATTAATTTTGGAGGGTCGATAGAAGTGGACAAAATATGAATTATAAAATGAAAGAGAAAAGTATCGTAGTTGGTCTTTTAAGACAGACTATCAAGTTTGAATGATCTCTTTTGATTTCGAACGCTCTCACTGAATAGTCTGGATTACAAATCTAGTGCATGCAAAGATTTTTAGAAAGCTAAACACACTCGTGTAAATTTACATGCAAGAGATTGGGAATCTCAACTTAGTTTTATTTCTTAAAGTCCATCATGAAATCTTCCAATGAGCAAATAAAGGATGAAATGTACATGAATATGTACAAAATAATAATGGTCTAAATGAAAAACTTTATTATTGCAAATATTTGAAACAAAATTTTTGCTCAACTACAATACAAATGAGAAAAAAAATCTTTAAAGAATACAATTTCATATACATACATACTTTTTCTCTTCTTTTTCTTTTGAGACAAAATGTGTTAACAAATCAAATAAAAAAGGATTATTTTGTTGTTTTTTTTTATTTTTTTTGACAAACAATTATGAAATCTCTTAGATGCTTTTGACTAACGCTTTCAGATGTATTCTTCAGACTTTTACATTGTAGGATTTGCCCAAAAATCAAGCAATACTTGTTATTTTTTAAAATTTATCAAACCAAAATTGTCATCAGATATAGGAAAAATATTTTTATTTTATTGAATCATTTTTTATAAATGTAGGGGGAAAAAATAAAAGAAAATTACCCAGAGTTAGTAAGTAAAAATGTAAAATCGGTATGCATGTCCTATGGAGGAAACCTTTTTATACCAAGAGTTGGCCTAACATGAAAAATGCAATTCTCTAGGGTAGGCACCATAGATATCTGATAGATCCGGTCAATTTATTGATATTCAAGTGAAAAGTAATTTAAAAATTTGGCTAATTGGAACGGTAGGGAAATTTGACTTAACAGGATGAGAACAAAGTCCGAATGGATTGATTGCTTTGGTTGACACATGAAGAGATGTTAAATGTCAATTTAGCATGAAAGAGTCTATTTTTGAAAGAATTGTAATATCTCGACTAACTTCTTTAGTGAACCATAGATCGAAACCCTAAAAGAGAATAAATTGGTCAAATAGATCAGATGAAATTGATAATTTATTCAAAAATTGACTGGATTGCCCTAAAAGTGAATAAATTGATCAAATAGGCCGGATGGAATTAATGGTTGACTGGATTGTCTTAAAAATGAATAAACTGGTAAAATGGATTGGATAGAATTGACGGTTTATTCGAAAATTAACTGGATTGTCCACCCATTTGTAATTTCAAATTCACAAATTTCAGTACAATGCATTAGTCTATAAGTCTTCTAAAATCAAGATTTGATCTCGATATATTTATTATCTCAACAATGAGGAATCATTTGTGAATTTCTTTAACTTAGCGTCATTTATGCAAGGAATTTTTACTAACTTTGATAAAATGACAAAAAGATGTTATTAGATGTTTTAGAGACCTGGAAGCCTCCAATTTGGCTATGCTTGCAAAACAAATTGGAGAATTATTATCAATCCAAATTTGTTAGTAAGCAAAGTCCTGAAGGCTAGGTATATGAAAGAGGATAATTGGTTAGGACTTCAACCACCTAACAATGCCTCTTGGTGTTGGAAAAGTATGCATAAGAGGGGTGAACTACTTCAACAGGGGCTATGGAAGTGAGTGGGAGATGGGAGGTCAGTGAGGATTTGGCATGATAGATGGATACTTGGGCTGGTTGATGGAAGAGTCTCTAAGGTAAAACCAATAGGATGTCATCTTGAGTTTGTTAATGAGCTTATTGAGGGAGGAAAGTGCAACAAAGATCTTCTGCAGCAATGGCTTAATGTAGATGATGTGGACCATATTACTAATATCCCCCTTAGTTTGTATGATAGGAAAGACAGATTGTTTTGGAACTTTAGCAAGTCTGGAATCTACACTGTGAAGACTGGATATGTGGTTGCAAAGGGGGAAAAGGAAAAAACGAACCAAAGGCTAGCACCTGATCCGGAAACCAGTTGGGAGATAAGAAAGCATACAGTATGGAAAAGATTGTGGAGCCTAAACATTAAGATGAAACTGAAATATTTCTTATGGAGATGCCTACAAAATGGGCTGGCCACTAACGAAGCTCTCTACAAGAGACTTGGAATAGGTAACAAGATATGTCACTGCTGTGGGGACGAAACGGAAACCATTGAACATATATTCTTCACCTGCCCAAAAGCTCAAGTGATATGGAAGATTTTGCCTGTAAGATGGGAAGGCTTGGCTAAACTACAAGGTAACTTGTGGAGATGGTGGAAAGCTATGTCGCAAGCAGCAAAGGAGACACAAGGAGTGGGCAGAATCCAGCTAACGGTAAACATCTTATGGTAAATCTGGAAAGCGAGGAACAAGTTCACATTCCAGAGTGAGATAGAGGATGCAAAAGTAATTGTAGACAAGGCACAACAGGATTGGATCGAGTATGAGGCAGCAAATGAGTCAGATACAAGAATAAATTCAGTCCCAGAAATGGCAACACCAGTCCAGTAGCGATGTGAGCCTCCGAAGGAAGGAATAATGATGATCAATACGGGCGCTGCAATTTCTGCTAAAATGGTCAGATCAGGATTTGGGATCATTGCAAGGAACTGGAGTGGAGTGTTAGTGAGAGCGAAGGGAATCACTGAGAGGAGGAAAGGAGAAGCAGCCACTGAGGAAGCTCTAGCAATCAGAGGGGCGCTAGAAATGACTCAAGTTGCAGGATGGACAAACATAGAAGTCCAATCTGATTGCAAGTATGTTGTGAGCCTCATCAACACGGACAATGTTCAGGAATGTAGACTTCAAACAATCCTGGAAGACATTGTTGTCCTGAAGAGAAGATTTGAAAGTTGCGTTTTCACTTTTGTTCCTAGATCTGCTAATAGCTGTAGTCACGAATTGGCTCAATTCGCAGCAATGGCAACTAGAAACTTTGAATGGGAAGGTTCATTCCCAACTTGGCTTTCAACGTTAGCTAGAAAAGATATGGGGGTAGTTACCCCTTTTTGTAATTAGCTCTTGTAATATCAAGTGTTAATATATATATAAAATGTTATTGTTTGTCAAAAAAAAAATGGTCATATTCTAATGTTCAAAAATTGTCCCCTCATTTTCAATGTCGTTATCATGGAAGGGATCAGATCATACCTTACCTTATGCACTACCTCTTTGGATGATACAAAAAATATAAACGTGCAAGTCTCATTGGATTATATATCCAAAACAATAGGTAGTTTATCCCTAACATGGAATGCCCTATGCGGCATTCTCTCTATAGTTTATTCATAATGACAGTTTATTATAGTAAGTAAATATGTGATAACGGGAATTAAACATGATCTGAAGGAACCCTTTTTATATGTCAGGGTAGGCCTAAAAATGAAGTGCAATATTAAGATATTAAAAGGCAATAACTTGTAATTTAAATGTGTGAAAATCTATCTACTAAGGTGGGCCCTTAAAAGAATACCATGTCAGGACTCTTATTTTCTAAGATTTGTAAATGCAAAATAAGAGAAAACAAAAAGAGGTTAGTTTAATAAATAACACATAACACGTTGAATCAATAAAATGATACAAAAATGTAAAGTAAACAAATAAGGGTAGAATCCATCCCCTCGTGTCTAGTATTCCTAATCAGGTGAGATTGACTCTATACTAAATAATTTCTAATATGGATGCATGAGATTGAATTCACTAATACATCTAGAGTCGATAAGGTTTTAGTCTCCCAAACCTTTAGACCAAGAGGTGAAGGGTCATCAAGCCCTAGGTTTTTAGTCGGTGGTTCGAGTGATCTCTCAGATATTGTTACGCGCACATCATGTCATAACCACATGTTCAAGTGGATTGATCCTAATCCTAATAGGAATGAGTGGTGCAACCACTAAAAAAAATAAAATGAGGGGTTAAAAAAATTAGCGTATACACGTATGAAGTGCTCCTTTGAGGGAAGGGATTAAATACCAATAAACATGTGTAAAGGCTCTAAGGTAGCTATACCCTCCACCCAAGATGCAAAGCGCGATACATGTACATAAACATAAGTAAAAATAAGTAAATAAACAAATTATTCATCGCATACACGGAAAGTGAGAGGTGATTGCGCGTGTAAGATGCAATAATCCTAAAAAAGGAAAAGAAAAATACAACCTAAAACATCCTAATACGATTGTTATTCTTGATTTTGATGATCACAAAGCACTTTGAAATGTTTATCTAATTCTCTTCAAATATAAGTGTTTTGCTTTTTAGAGAATCAGGTACAAAGGTGTCAAGGAAAGAAAATCAACCAAAAGAAGAAGCAAAAACAGGGCACTCATATCGGACGTCCGTAAGGAATATATCGGACGTCCGAAAGGATGAAGAACATCAAGAAGGAAACTCTGTCGGACGCTCGTGAGGAAGCATCGGACGTCCGGAAGGATCGGACGCACTCCTCGGACGCACATCGATCGTGTCGGACGTCCTAAAAATTTCGCAGAGCTTTGATAACTCTCTGACGACGTTCGGACGCAGAAGCTGTCGGACGATAAAATCCCATCGGACGTCCGAACAACAACTTGGCTGATTTTCGGACGATGAGATCGGACGATGACTACGCTGTCGGACGTCCGACAGCCCCAATGGCTAACTGACTCTTCATCTGCCTTTTATCCGTTGGAAGCATTAATGAAACCCATTTTTGGTTCCCTTTAAATACAAACGATTCTGAATTAGAGAATGACTTTTGCACACTTTGTTTACAAGATCTCAAGAGATATTTTGGCTAGAAAATAGTTTCCTAAACAAGATTTGTTCTCCAAGTAGTGTGAAGTTCTTATAAGCACTTCTCTTGTGTTTGAAATTTTCAATAGTGTAGCTTTTTTGAGGGTTATCTGAGTGATAGTAAAACTACCTAACTTGACTAAGTGAGACTTGGGGCAAGGAGGAAGTGATCCCTCCATTGTACATTGAGTTGATTATTTTTCATCAAAGAGAAGATGCTCATCTTTGTGATTGGTCTTCAAGTTTGAAGAAAAGCTTGGTAAATAATCGGTTTGATACTCTATCCTATTCCTTTTTGTTTAATAAAATTCTCATTGCCTATATACATTCTTATTTCTGATCAACACTGCTCTCTTCTTTAAATTTACTTGGCTGATCACTACTTGAAAAGAAGGTAAATTTTTATTAAAGAAAAAGTGCATAAATTCGATAAAGAATTTTTAATCAACCTAATTCACCCCCCCTCTTAGGTTGTCTTTGGGCCTTATAGCGATATGCAAAGTTGGTTAGAAAAATAAAAGAATCGACTAAATCAAGTGTTTGGACTCTCTAAAAGTCCCCATTGGAGTCACCAATTGTCGTGCTCCATTTTTTTTGAAAAATAATTTATGTGTGATAGAAAAGATGTATTTATTTGAAAATTTTTATTTGAAATGAGTTTTTTTATTTTAGAGAATAAATAAAGAAAAAGAAGGGTCTAAAATGGGACTTAAAAAAGAGCGATGGTTTTGGTCCATAATAATAGTCTAAAAAGAATTTTTTTAAGAAAAAATAGAAGTTGCCACTTGGTATTGAATTAATGTGTACCAAGTTACCCAAAATATGTTTTTTTAAAATAAAAAATAAACAAAACCCTTTTTAGATGACTCCGGATTTTCGAAAAACAAGAGAAAAGAGTTCGAGAGTCACGGTTGAAGAAAGGGGAGACAAAAATTTGATAGAATCAAACCTAAGGTACCCTTTTAATCTATTCAAAGTTAGTTGCGAGATTTAATCGAAAATTTTCTTAATCTAACCTATACAACTTATCACATTAGGATGTTTCTATATGGATGCGAATTTAGATCTAAGGGATATTGAGAGGGTCGAAATATCTCTTCAAAATTTGATTGCTGCGAATCACATTAATTGTGATGCCCAAAATGATTCTTAGAAAATGTCACAAATATGCAAAGATGAGATTTTTAGAAAAAGAAAAATTATAATATATAAATATACGTGACCTAAAGGAGAGGAATGCAACATAATGGATACGAGAAACTAAAATTCGTGGCTTAATTTTTCTTTTTATAGAGGGGATGAGAGCGTGCTAAGGTTAAGGAGCCACACTCGTTCGTTTCTCATATTTGAAAGGTGACTCTTCTAATTTAATCAAGTAAATGAACTAGCCTACTTCTAATTTCCTAAATGAAATGTAAGTTTAAATGTCATGTTTCGCGCATATAGGATTAGGGGAGATAATATATAAGAAATGTCATGCAAGATGAGAAAATATCATAAAAATGTAAAATATGTATGAAATACAATGAATATCACGCAAAAATGTGAATCTAGCATGAAAACGGTCTAACTGGTCTAGCATTGGACTAACCCATTTTTACAAGTCCCCACTAGCGTTGGATTAGTGAGAAAACGGGGAGAAAGGCCACAGTTAGCGTTGGACTAGTGTGGTGACGTCATACATTTATTATAAATAAATAAATCATATACAACATAATTAAAGCAAATAAACACACAATGCACATAGAACACATAACACATAGAATACATAACACATAAGTATAATTTCTAAATGTAAAATCCTAGTAAAAACGAATAAATACGTAAGCACATAAGCATGCAAGTACACAAACAAATAAATGCAAATAAAAGTCTAACTATTACATTTGGGCCCTAACTACAATCTACAGGGAAATATTTTTAAAAAATAATCTAACTGTTACATTTATCTAACTAAATACATTTTTGGCAAAAATTAAAACCTATCTATTACATATCCTAATTAAATACATGTCTTGAGCATCTATACATTACAAATTGGCATTTCAATGCCCTCAAATAATCATCAAAAATTAAATATAATAAATGAAAATTTAAAATGAATAAATAAAGGAAAAAGCACTCAAAACATGCAATCACATATAAAAAACAAACAAGAGCACATAAAGGGATTTAAAATAATACTAGAAGATACCTCCCTTTTAAGTAATGGTTAAATGAGGTTGGATTTGCCCTATTTATAGTCCAAAATCAACAAAAACAGTCAAGATACCAATTTAATTAACAAATAAATTATAAAAAGGGAAATAACTATGGAATCTACCAATTAAAGTATTTAAATGAAGTATAATTAACAATTAAAGAAAATAAATAACTTATATTTAAGAAATCAAAAATATTAGGGACCTAATTGTAAAAATTGAAAAGTTTTTGGGGTTAAATTATAATTATTACAAAAATTAGAGGTCAAAACTAAAGAAAATAAAGTTTTGGGAACCAAAATATAATTAAATTAGAGACCTAATTGAAAGAAATCCAAAGTTTTTAGGATTATAGTGAAAATAATTAAAATATGAGGGACTAGAATGCAATTTTCGTTTCTGGTCTTGCAAGATGAAGGCCACTTGGTTCATCCTTCAAATTTTTCTTTGGGCTAAAGTTACCTAGGCCCAACAAAAAGTCCAGAAAAATGGGTAGACTAGCCTATCATGTTTACTCAGTGAAGACCCAACCAAAAGGTTGGGTTTCAACCCTTTTAACCCAATGTCAAACCCAGAAAGAAATAAAACAAAAACCCAAGTAAAAAAATTTCTTAACCCAAAACCTAACCCAACAAAAAAAAATTATTAAGGCCTAATTATCCAAAAACCTACTTAAAATATGAAAAGGGGGATTAAAACTTAAAAAGGGCAGGATTGATTTATTTTTTCCAAGTTTGAGCCATAATGGAATTATGTAAAAATTGAGGGGCTAAACTGTAATTTTCCAGAACTTATCCATGCAAGCTTTTTTTCTGCAACTTTACTTTGTTTCATCTGACGTAAAAAGAAAATCACAAACGGCCATGAAAAATTCGAACCAAACAACAAGATTATGTAACCCAGATCTCGTCACCCCAAATACTACATCTAATCACAAAAATTATAGTGGAACTTGAACTAATGTTTGCAAATGAGTAGAAAAAATGCCGAAAAAGGAAAACTTGCAGCAATGATTTTTGTGAATCTGGTGCAGATTTAAGCTTGTGT